AAAATTGTACGCTTTTAGTAGGCTACAGTTGTAATGGAACGTTTGTTCACGGCACAGAATTCTACAATTTTTCTGATTTATCACAGTGTAGAATTCTGTGGTTTAGGGTGAACCTACGCTAAGGGGTGAACCTACGCTAAGGGGTGAACGCAAAATTTGGTGAACGCGCACCGGGTGAGAATAGCCACAAGACTCGCCTGCACTATTCTAACTCCGGGTGAGAATAGAGGTGACCTAGAAAATAGACAACTGGTAGCTGAGTGTAAGACGGGAGGGAAAGTAAAAAAATACAGAATCTACACACACAAATTGTGAGTGAGATTAGTGGTCACTGTTTACCCAGTCTGTAACAAAGTAACAGTGGACGTAAACATGAACTTTTGACAGAAGCATCGCTTACAAACTCCTAGTGATGACGACCCTTGTGTTTGTTTGACCATTGCATTAAGTAATTAAGCCCTCTTGTCTCACACAGTTTGTTTCATTGTCACCCTTGCACAGAAGCAGCAACAAAATTTTTAAAATTTTAAAAACCCAGCGAAAACAACAACAATGCGGCCACCTTAGGTTGGGACCTCAGAAAGGAATGATTTGTTTTCTTCATCTTGATTCGTCCTGCCTAAGACGGCAACCTGTTTTATATGGCCACTTTTCTCCTTGACAATGGGGGGGCCATCTTACACAGGTTCGAATGCCATTTCATTTTTTATAATATGATAATAATAATTTTATAATTATATAGTGATCGTTACTAAACACTTTATGTTAACTTCATTTCGGCCCCATGACCTAAAAAAAGTCCAGGGGGTTTCAGGGGGGCATGCTGGGTCCCAGTGCATTTCACCGTGATTTGGTGTTTTGCAAAATTTAGGTTCAGTATTTTCTATACACAGTTGGTTTACAAGGGTTTCAGTGACCATCATGCGTGTTCTGCAGCAAGAATTACAACTCAAAAATGATGACAATGAATATGTTCTAACTCCCCCCCCCCCCCCCCTGAGAGAAAAAGAGGCCCGGACGTTGAATCCTTCTGCTATCATACAACAAACAAACAAACTTGAAATGCCAGCTGCAGGACTTATGATTCCAACCACTAGCAGTAGCAGTCTGTGAGTTATTCATGATAATTAACTCCCATCTCACTCTCAGGAATTGTAGCATTTTCATGCTGATTTTTTTTTTTTCAGTTTTCATGAATTTCATCATCACAACTGTTGCATTGAACCTTTTGATTTTTCGGTGCCGCTTTTATGTGTGTGACCTTTTATAATGCGAATGTGAGTGCATGTGCATGCGTATTTCTGACTTATTAGGGTATTTTATGCTTGGGTGAGAAGGACCAAGTCTTTGAAATGAGTTTTTAAGATTTTTAAGAGAGGGGGGGGGAGCATGCATGCCCATATTTAATCTCTCATAATTTGATGTTGTGTTGTTGAACATTATCCAACCAAGTCTGAATGTTGGTTCTTTCTAAAACTTGGGGGGGGGGGGTTGATTATGATATATATATCCAATCATACTGTTATTATGTTTTATGTTGGTACTATACAGCAATGATTTAATTTTTCTGACACTTGAACAGATCTTATCGTATGGTTGGGTTATTTCTGACTGACTTTTGTTGCTCAATACGATTGTAGGACGACGTTTCAAGTACAGCCAGCACAAAGGAGGAAGAGTCGTCCCGAAGCGACACACCGACGTTGACGGGGAGAGGCCGGGCTGCCATGAAGCTGAAAAGACAGTTGAAGAAGTGCCGCCTTCAGTTTAAATGCACCAATTATCTGAAGGTGTGCTCTCGGTGGTTGTTATTGAGAGTTCTTTCTTCTTACTGAGTTTAAAGACTAAGTGGAAGATAGACTGAAATATTTTTGTCAATGTCCTGATGATTTTCTTTGAAATAATCTAGTGTTTCTGTGTCGAGGATCACATAGTGTATTGTGACTAAATTTAACTGGCAAGCATATGAGATCACCAACTTTTTCATTGTTTACGTAATTGAGACGAGATTTAGACAGTCATACAAATTGTAAGAAAATGAATATATGATAAGTCTGATGCCGTGTTGTAAGTCTGTTGTCGTGTATATAAACATATATTATCAAAATATGATTTGTATCTCACCTTGTCAGCCATGCAGACAACATTGTCATTGTGAAATATGAGGAAGCGAAACAGACTTTTTTTAACTTCCTGAATCATGTTTAAACTGAATTTCTGTATTTTCTTCAAGTTTGAACCCCTTTGTAACCCTTTTTTTTCACATTTTCTGTAAAAGTTCTGTGGATAAATGAGCATAAGAAATTTTTGAAAGGCTGGTGAAGTAAGATTCCTCCTTCTATGTCATTCTGACTCATGATGAACCTGTTGTTTGTTGAAGGAGGACCACGGCCAGCCATTGTTTGGTATTCAAATCAATCAAAGCATGAAGGAGACTGAGCCAGTGCTGTTTGCCACTGTTGGACACAATCGGGTACGAATACTACTTCGTTTTACTTTGTGATCTTCAAAGTTTTAAAAGTTCTGTTTACTCTTTCAAAATTAGTCAGTAACCAGGTGAAATTTTCTCTGACATTTCTTTTTTGTCAGCAGTCTGCGGTTATGTTTTTGTAAAGATACACTGCGTAATGAAGTTTTCCAGGAATGTAGGGGTTTTTTGTGTGTCAGTGGCATGCATTAGATTTATGAAACGAAAATGTTAATTTTTGCACTGGAATTTTTTTCCAAAAATACAGTCTTTTGGCGTTTAAAAATTGTTGTTGTTGTTCGGGGAGGGGGGCATTGGCAATACTTAATTTATAAATTGGCTATAAATGACCTGAGTTCTCCTCTTAGCTTTGACTCTTTCCTAGATTCTAATTGATGCTACACGACAATGGCACTGAATTTTGAGAATTATGATGTAAAAAGAATGGTTTTCATAAGCCAACTTAGTTGCATTGGGAATCAGATTTATAGATATATAGGACTTGTGATTTTTCAGTCCAGTTTGCCTGGGATTTGTCACCAATAAGGCACAGGCAATTATGTATTTTTTAAATATTGAGATATTATTAATGTTTTGTTGGGCCTAAACATGAAAATATTTGACTTGTAAAATATAGACCATTGGTAACATTTGAAATAATATATTTCATTTTTGTTAACTGTAGAAGTAAAACATAAATAAATATAAATGTGGGGGGCTTTTTATTCTCAATTTTTGAAAAAGGTACACTGTAAGATTTTTTTCAGTTAAAGCAGTTCCAGGCTTTTTCCCTCAGAGTTTGAGTCTGTATTTCTTGGAATCTTAGTTGTCTTAATATTACCTTTTTATTTTTTCTGTTTGTCTAGGTCACAGTTTACGAGTGTCACGACGGAGGCAAAGTGAAGCTTCTACAGTCGTATGCAGATCCATGTGTATCCTTTGTTTTGCTGGTGCAATTTTTATGTCTTGTGAAGTGTTCTGTTTTTAATTCAGTGGTCAAGTTCATCTAATTGAAATAGGACTGGACTGGCTGCAGCTCTCTTATGATATGGATTAAGCTGTAAATTCCAAAAAAAGCTCAGATTTTTAATGATGACTACCCTACGATAGCTCTGAATATTGAGCATTATGGTGTAAAAATAATTGTTTTCCTAAGCCTACATAGTCGTAGTGAAGATATGAAAATTTTTTAAAATCTTTTTGAAATCTCATCTTTGACTATAATACTTTTACTGGCTGTATGTGACTTTGCAGCAACTTGAAACCTGAACATTAAAGAAAATGTGCCAGTCCCCACCAGTCTGCTCTCCTTCAGATCAGTGGCACAAACAACACTTCCCTCAGTGGTCCCGGTAACTCACAAATAGCAGTTGTGAGGAGGTGACAGTTGTAAGGAAGTGACAGTTGTAAGGAGGTGTAAGGAGGTGACAGTTGTAAGGAGGTGTAAGGAAGTGACAGTTGTGAGGAGGTGTAAGGAAGTGACAGTTGTGAGGAGGTGTAAGGAAGTGACAGTTGTAAGGAGGTGTAAGGAGGTGACAGTTGTAAGGAAGTGACAGTTGTGAGGAGGTGTAAGGAAGTGACAGTTGTAAGGAGGTGTAAGGAGGTGACAGTTGTAAGGAGGTGTAAGGAAGTGACAGTTGTAAGGAGGTGTAAGGAGGTGACAGTTGTAAGGAGGTGACAGTTGTAAGGAGGTGACAGTTGTAAGGAGGTGACAGTTGTAAGGAGGTGTAAGGAAGTGACAGTTGTAAGGAGGTGACAGTTGTAAGGAGGTGACAGTTGTAAGGAGGTGTAAGGAAGTGACAGTTGTAAGGAGGTGTAAGGAGGTGACAGTTGTAAGGAGGTGACAGTTGTGAGGAGGTGACAGTTGTAAGGAGGTGTAAGGAAGTGACAGTTGTAAGGAGGTGTAAGGAAGTGACAGTTGTAAGGAGGTGTGAGGAGGTGACAGTTGTAAGGAGGTGACAGTTGTAAGGAGGTGTAAGGAGGTGACAGTTGTAAGGAGGTGACAGTTGTAAGGCGGTGTAAGGAGGTGACAGTTGTAAGGAGGTGTAAGGAGGTGACAATTGTAAGGAGGTGTAAGGAGGTGACAGTTGTAAGGTGTAAGGAGGTGACAGTTGTAAGGAGGTGACAGTTGTGAGGAGGTGACAGTTGTAAGGAGGTGTAAGGAAGTGACAGTTGTAAGGAGGTGTAAGGAAGTGACAGTTGTAAGGAGGTGTAAGGAGGTGACAGTTGTAAGGAGGTGACAGTTGTAAGGCGGTGTAAGGAGGTGACAGTTGTAAGGAGGTGTAAGGAGGTGACAATTGTAAGGAGGTGTAAGGAGGTGACAGTTGTAAGGTGTAAGGAGGTGACAGTTGTAAGGAGGTGACAGTTGTGAGGAGGTGACAGTTGTAAGGAGGTGTAAGGAAGTGACAGTTGTAAGGAGGTGTGAGGAGGTGACAGTTGTAAGGAGGTGACAGTTGTAAGGAGGTGTAAGGAGGTGACAGTTGTGAGGAGGTGACAGTTGTAAGGAGGTTTAAGGAAGTGACAGTTGTAAGGAGGTGACAGTTGTAAGGAGGTGACAGTTGTAAGGAGGTGACAGTTGTAAGGAGGTGTAAGGTGACAGTTGTAAGGAGGTGTAAGGAGGTGACACTTGTAAGGAGGTGTAAGGAAGTGACAGTTGTAAGGAAGTGACATTTGTGAGGAGGTGTAAGGAGGTGACAGTTGTAATTTGATGACAGGTGACAGTTGTAAGGAGGTGACAGTTGTAATTTGATGACAGGCGACAGTTGTAAGGAGGTGACAGTTGTAAACAGGTAGAACCCCCCGCGGCAGTGCCACTGACTGTAGTGTCTTTAGGCCATTCCTAAAGGGGGGACATTTCTCGTTTGATCTACAACAGGGAACTGCTGCCTTTTCTTTCCTAATCGTTACTATTGTCATTTTCCTCTACTTCTTTTGTATGTTTGTTACCCTCTTGTGACCTGCTATTTCCAGGGTGCCTTGATAGTCGAAGCAGACTTTGTGCTGTTGAAGCTAGAGAGGTGAGTAGAGTAAGTCTGATTCCCTGTAAAGACTTCTCTGTTGACACCAGCCCCTTGGCGCTCATATGACCTTATGCAGTTGCGAACACGGTAAAACCCTCTACTAAAACTAAAAGACGTGGAAGTTGTGAGGACAATGTAAGGAGGTGGAAGTTGTATAAGGAGTCCCCTGGTAGGGCTGTCTCTCTGCTCTGACAACAATATCATTCCTTGACGCAGACCAGACGGAGGAAAACTTTTACTGCTGTGCCTGGAGCTTCGACGACACGACCGGTCAGCCCATCCTGGCCGTCGGGGGAGTGCGGGGGATCATCCGCATCATCAGCCCGACCATGGGTCAATGCATCAAGGTAGGAGGTGGGGGTGGGGGGGGTGGGGGCAAAGAAAAGCTCTCCTAAGCATACAGTGCAGCCTGTCTATAACGACCGTTGATGTGACGGCATCCTCTATATAGCGACATGGTGCCCAGGTCCTGATTTTTTTCCTCATATATAATATCAAAAGTAACTTTTGGTTGCCTCTCTATATTGACAACTCTCTATAACGACATTTTTTTTTCTGGTCCCATGACCTTATGCAGTTGCGAGTGCCGTATAACCTTACTAAATCAACAAATAGAGAGGCTGTACTGTATTATGGTCTTTTAGTGCAGGGGAAAATCAGAAGAGCACGTTAGATGACAGGCCATTTGGACAGGTTTTGAACGTAGCTACCAGTAACTCCCTGTAAGTGATCTCTGTTTTGTTGCTCGATCTATCTGGACGTCTCTGTGATATTCACTGATTATCATTTGGGGAGCAGGCCGCGTTGTTACTCTTTGGCCTGCGGTTGGTTGGCGGGTGCTCTGGTGTGGTTTGCTCCTTCTTTCCTATAAAAAAAACCCTAACGTCTCTATCTCCCCTCCTTCTTTTTTGTGTTTGTTACTCTCTTGTAACACCTCTAATCTTCCCCACTTAAATGACTTTATTGTGTTGCAAGTGCCGTAAAACTCTTACTAAAAGAAAGCTTTTTGGCCTGGTTACATAACTTTGGGGACTTGAATTGTAGTGAGCTTCCCTGCATGTAAATTTCACTCTTGATTGGAGGTATGCCATTGGTTTTTTAAAAATATATTATATATTGTGTGGGACATATAAAATTTGTGATTATGTTGTGTGGGACATGAATATCAATGAGTCTCCTTTGAAACCCTTTTAAACATACTGGTAAACAGAAGATAACATTGAAATGTAAGTATCACTTGTTCTTTTCCTTTTTCTGTTTCCAGCAATTTGTTGGCCATGGTAATGCTGTGAATGAACTCAAGTTCAAGCCAAAAGATAACAACATTCTGCTGTCTGTTAGTAAAGGTAAGGATCCGCTCGTAAAGGAAGGTTGACTCTGTGCATACACATACCCCCCCCCCCCTACACACACACACACACACACACACACACAGACCCCCCCTTACACACACACACATACACACACAAACTCTTCCTGAGCACAGCCAATTCATTTTAAGAAATTTCTTGTTCTATTTTGATTGTGAATGCGGTTTGAAAACATTTTGATGACTCCTTGATACCGTTTAGTTGTCTCAAACTGCTGTTTAAAGTTGCACGTTGAGTATTAACTGTGTTGTCTAGGGTTTTGGTGAAAATGGTTAAATGGTATAGATTTAACGACCCTGTCAACACTATTAGGTTATTTAAGAGGCGGAGCCTCAGAGTTTAACGTCCATCTCCGAAAGGACTGAGCCAAATGGGAAATTCGTGTAAAATGCCTTTCCCAAGGACACAACGTCGGACCAAGCTGAGGCTCGAACCCTCAAGGGTTTTGGAGACAAGCAACACAGCTGGCCGATGGATCAATGTTCGTTTGGAGAAGACGTCGATCCAGATCTAAGGGAAGTTTTATGCTATTCTTTCTCAAGACTTTGTTTCTGCTCCCTATCTGGGAACAATATTGATTAATTAACCAGCTCTCACACAGTACTGAAGCTGTCTTTTAAAAATTTGTAAGCATTTTGTTCGAAAGTGATTTTTATACCAGAAAGTGAAAAAAAAACTGCAATTCCTCAAATTCATCATACAGTACCTTTGCCGAGGGCACACTCACATATTTTGGACTGTCTGTTGTTTGATGGGGTCACCAAGGCTGTTGGTCTATTTAACATGGTCGTGTGTGAGGCAGATTGAAGTTGGAGGTCCAACTTCCCTGTTCCCCAGATTTAAACGGGTCTGACTTGCGCTTTCCCTAGATCTTAACACCCACCCCCCCCACCCCGTAAAACTTTACTAAAACTAAAAAATTTTAACGTGTCTGACCTCCCTGTTCCCCAGATTTAATGTGTCTCCAACTTCCCTGTTCCCAGATTTTAACATGTCTGACCTCCCTGTTCCCCAGATTTTAACGTGTCTGACCTCCCTGTTCCCCAGATTTAACGTGTCTGACCTCCCTG